TGGTGCCACCCACAGTGGCCCAGGTGTTTCCATATCAGTCAGCAATCTAGACAGTTCCTCACAGACATGCCCACACATCAGCTTGATAAAGACAGTCACTCAGCTGAGACCCTCTTTTCAGTGACTTTAGGCTATGCCAAGTTAATAGTTAACGCTCTCTAGGATGGGCTTCCTAGAGGTGACATGTAGGGCAGGCTTTTTTCTCAGGGTGAATTGCTGATCGTCTTGGATAATAGCATCCTCATAACCTCGTTTTGGTTTTCTTTTCAGCGAATTACCAGTTTCCTATCTAGAACCAGAGCTGCAGGACACCATCAAGGCCAAGCATGGAGAGCAAGTCCTCTTTGCCTACTTTAATAAGGGTCTCTAAGTGCTCTGTGCCTGCAGGGACCAATCCACACCCTGTATGGACCAGCCTTTGCTGGCAACTCTGCACACCTGTGTCCACATTCCTCCTTGAAAGCCAGGCTGGACTGGGAGATAGAGTAGGTGGGTGGGGAGATGACTCCTGTTTCCATATAAACACCCATTTTTGGGGGGACTCCCAAGGATAAAAATTCAAAAGGGGAATCAAGGTGGTTGGGGATGTAGCTCAGTTGGTAGTATTTGCCTAGATTCCACAAAGCCCTCCATTTAATCCTTAGTGCCATGTGTTTCAGGCATGGTCATACATGCTTGCAATCTTTGTACTTGGGAGGTGGAGGCAGGAGCATTAGAAGTTCAAATTCAACCTTAGGTATATGGAGAGTTTGAGGCTAGCCTGAGTTAGAGATGATGTCTCAAAAAAAAAAAAAAAAATAGGGGAGGGAACAAGAACAAAAGTATTCCGTCTGCTTTGTCCTTGGTCCCTGTCCTTTGGGACCAGACACTAAGGCCATCTCAGCAGAAGCTGCTGGTGTCTGGGAGAAACAGTTTGGCATACTTAGGAGACCTGTGGCTCTTGTCCAGTCAGGGCCGCAGATGTATTGAGTCCCTCTCCTCCTTCCTCCCACTTCTTCCTTCTCAAGCAAGGGAAATGTTTACCTGTGTGATTCTTGAAAAGGCTTCTTATCATTTTATTTTTATGTGTATGGATGCTTTGCCTTCATGTGTGTCTCTGCTCCAGTGTCCACAGAGGTCCGAAGAGGGTGTCAGATCCTCTGGGACTGGAATTACCACTGTGAGCCATCACATGGGTGCTAGAAATCAAACCCAGATCCTCTGGAAGAGCGTCTCCGCAGCTCCTACTCAGGAACAGCAGAGGGTCAGTCTGTCCCCTGGGGATTCCTCTCTACCCTGCCCCATCGAGTCCTGACTGGGATACCTCCATGGGAGCGCTGCTAGACTTGAGTTTGTCAGGCGCTGAGAGCTAACTACAACAGGACAGAAAACTGGACAAATAGTTCCTGTCCTCAGCCCGATAGGTCAAAAACCAGGGACTGGTGTGTACTGATAGGAAAGGGAGCTGTGCTTGGACACAGGAGCACAATTCAACCAGGACCAAAGAGCCTTTAGACTGTACAGCCAAACAGTACAGTACACATAACACTCAAGTTATGTGGACATCAAGTTCTAGCCCTCTGATGATGACTTTATTCTGTCTAAAATCATGTCTAGATCTACTTCTAGGACCCTTATTCTGGGAGAAGTCTCTTCTCTCATTGCCTTGCCTGTTTTACAAGTCCCCTCACTGAGAGACGGCACCTGCCCCTCCACACATTTTGATGGATGATTTCCTGGTGGCTTCCCTTCCTGAACCCTTTAGGTTAAATCAAAGAAAGACTGCTGGGTACTGACAGGACAGGGGAGCTGTACTCGGACACCTCTGAGAGGAAATCAACCAGGACCAAAAGCCTAAAGAGAACACACAGCAAAGGGCCGCTTAGGTTCCTATCTTATTCCTTGAGCCCCCTGGGGACTGTAGCTTCCTTGGGGTCAGTGTGTACCTGGGGTGAGTTTTGTCTGGTGAGATTTGATGATTCTGTTTAAACTCTCTCATCATGAATTGAATAAATGATTTGAAAGAACGTGAAGCATTGTTCTGCAAACCAAGCTACTACCTCCTGATGGGAAGCAGGATCTGTGGTCTGACTTTGGCTGGGGCACATCAGAGGATCTCGCAGTTGTAAGGGACCCTGTCTGATGGCTGGAGACTATGGTCTATCTCCCTAATAAGGGAGAAGAATCCATCTGCCCACCTGTGTTGATGCCCCACTGATCTCCCAGAATGGGATTTTTGCTGCCTTAGAGGATTGGTGAGCCATGATACAGCCTGTGCTCGCTCTCGCTATTTCTCTTTCTCTGGATTTGGGAACTGAAAGTGGTTTTACATCTCTTAAAAGGTTATAAAAAGAAAAACTAGAATATGCAAAAGGGACTTAGTATATGTGTCATATAAAGTTTTAACGTAAGTCTCCATATCCTGCAGCTGTGGCCGTTAGGAACATATAGTAGACCCGGCTGGGCAAACCTTTAATTCCAGCACTTGGAAAGCAGAGGCAGGTGGCTCTTCGTGAGTCTGAGCCTATCCTGCTCTACATAGCACATTCCAGCCAATGCAACAGAGAGGCCCTGCCTCAAAAGAGAAAAAAAAACGGATACGAGGGTCACCTGAAGATGCTGAGCAAACACAAGCGCAAAGGCTCGCCCCAGCTTGCAGTCCTGCAGGTGGAGCCTGGGAGCATGCAGGTGTGCTCATTTCCTGGCAATGCTGGTTGCACCAGAAGATAGTGCATCCTTGATGTGAAGATTGCAGCTGCAATTTAGCTTCACACCCATTTTAAAATGTAAAATGGAGCACACATACCATGAAACTTATGTTTTCTCTGGGATGGAGCCCAGGCTATCCTGGACTCTTACTTGTCAGCTCGGATTTGTGAATGCTGAGATTACAGCTGTGCACCTCCACACCTGGCCAAATTCATCCTTTTAAATTATATAGTTTAAAGCTGGGAAGTGGTGGCACACACCTTTAATCCCAGCACTCGGGGAGGCAGAGGCAGGCAGGTCTCTGGGTTTGAGGCCAGCCTGGTCTACACAGAGAAATCCTGTCTTGAAAAACAAAAACAAAAAAATTGTATGGTTTAGTAATTTCCAGTTACCAAGTTGCAGCATTGTTGCACCTAATCCCGAATACTTTTATTATCCGTCCTCCCGCCCCCAAACCCCAAGTTCATTAGCAGTTCCTCAGGCTCTCAGCCCCATCCCCTTCTAATCAGATCACACTGTGGGCCTTCTGTTTTGGGCTTCTCTGCTTAGCATGTTTACAGGGTTCCTTCCTTTTATAAGGGGAAGTTTGATGTTGGCTGTTACATGAGCAGGAAAGTCTGTTTTCCAGTCAGCTTTTTTCTTTTTTATTTATTTATTTATTTATTTATTTATTTATTTATTATGTATTCAATAGTCTATCTGTGTGTATGCCTGCAGGCCAGAAGAGGGCACCAGACCTTATTACAGATGGTTGTGAGCCACCATGTGGTTGCTGGGAATTGAACTCAGGACCTTTGGAAGAGCAGGCAATGCTCTTAACCACTGAGCTATCTCTCCAGCCCCTCTTTTTTTAAAGATATATTTATTATGTATAATGTTCTGTCTGCCCCCAGGCCAGAAGAGGGCACCAGATCTCATTATAGATGGTGTTAGCCATCATATAGTTGCTGGGAATTGAACTCAGGACCTCTGGAACAGCAGCCGGTGCTCTTAACTGCTGAGCCATCTCTCCAGTCCCCCCAGCTCAAAATGGGAGACTTGGCTGCAGCTTTTCTATTCCACAAAGTGGAAAAGCAACATCAGAACTTGAGAAAATGTTCTCTGTAAAGATCAGCTTTCCTTAGCTTTCCACATCTTCAAGTCTCTTGGCATGCGTGTTTCCATAGTGTTTGCTCCTGAGACAGGGAAACAACGAAGCCCTGGCTGTCCTAGCACTCACTTTGTAGACCAGGCTGGCCTTGAACTCACAGCTTCTGCTGGAATTAAAGGTGCGTGCCAGCTAAAGTCTAGTCTTTGTTTTTCCTTCCCTCTTTCCCTCCCTGTATCTCTTCCCTTTCTTTTTTCCTTGTGGCTCAACCGTGGACTGAACTCAAGGCCTTGCAAGCCATTTACCACAGAGCCGGACATCCCCCACCCAGCTGGGTGAGTATTGTCAAGGGTGAAGCTGCTATGTAGTCATATTTGGGTTTGTGTGGACCAGTAATGTGGATGGGATTTGAGGAAGTGGAGAACTAGCTACTCTGTAGGGCATAGAGAGCCATTTTCATTCAGCCGGAAGATAGCAAGGCTGAAGCGATGAGTGGTGGGTATCAGAGCTGTTTCCGGGTCATTAGAGGTTTGTCCTTAAAACAGGGATGGCAGAGCACTGTCTCTAATAGAATTACTGTCGAATAGGGAATTCGAATGGATCTGAGCTGCTCCTTGGTTAGTGGGATTGGAAAAGGCATCCTGATAATAGGGCTGCCTGTACTTTAATACAAAGGGCCCTAGAAAATTCCAGGCTGCAATTGTTTTACCCTTTAGAGTACCCTTTAGAATCATTATACTTTACCACCTCTTTTTTCCCTTTTCCTTATCCCACCCCCTAACTGTGGGAACCTAACACTTCCGCCACACTCAAAATGGCTACACAGGCAAGCCTCTTCAATGCATCTGGATGGTCTCGTCCCCAGCTCTAGGTACTTCCGCCACTCTGCGGGGCGGGGGCGCACTGCTCTTTAATGCAGCTCACCGCATTCAAGATGGCCCGGCTTCCTCCCACTTTTCATTGGCTAAATCACCCAGCACGAGGCGGGCTGGGACTAGAACTAGACGCACAGCTCTCTGGACCAATGGCCGAAAGGTAGGAGCCAATGAGGCGCGGGAGCTGGAGACCGTCCTCCGCATCTGGGAGGGCATTTGGCCTGGGGCGGGGTGGAGCCGAGCCGGAAGCGGGAGGGGAGAGCGAAACAGGAAAAGAAGGGAAGGAGGAAGCAGAGGGAAGAAGAGAGGGAGGAGGAGGGGTGGCGGCGCCGTGGCGGAGGAGCAGGAGCAGGAGGGGGATGGAGAGGAGAAGGCTCCTGGGTGGCATGGCGCTCCTGCTCCTCCAGGCGCTGCCCAGCCCCCTGTCAGTCAGGGCTGAGCCCCCGCAGGTAAGGGGAGGGCGTCTGAGCCAGCCCGGGGGTCCGGGGTGGTCGAGGCCTGGCAGGAGGGGGTCTCAAGGAGGATTGTTTGCAAAGAGTTGAGTGTTGTCGAGAGGAACGCCCATGCCTTGCGTGGACAGGGCGAAGGGGGCTTTGGTGTTTAGCTGAGGGACACCTGTGACGATTTGGATGTCAGAAAGATGGCAGAGGCAATGGTGCCAGGCGACTTGAGGGTCTTTTGAGAGGGCAGCTTTGGTAGGTGCGCTGGAGGAACTATGCTGGATATCGGTGCACACTGACGCATATGGGGCTCATTTCTAGCTCCGCAGTGGAGTCAGGAGCCAGAGACTCTGCATACCAGTGTGTGTAGGGATCCCAGGTTACAGAGCTGGCCCCAGAGGGAGAAGGGCCCAGCAGGATATTTATTTCAGGCCGGACAAAGGAAAGTTCTGAGCATCTTGGCTCTATTTTTAGTGCTGTAAGGCATGGCACGTTGGTGGCCTGCTGTTGGAGACAGGGTTCTTGGAAGGTAGGAGGGTGCAGTGGAGTGGAACCCCTCAGGAGGAGGGGCACGTCTGAGCTGTGAGAGCCATGCCGTTAGGCTGACTTGACTGCCCTGGTTAGAACAGGTCACTGGTGCTGATCCGAGCCAGGACAAGGCCTTTGAGCAGAGGGTGGTTCTAATGCCAGTATCTGCAGCAAATGGAGCACCCTAGCTTTTCTTGCTGGGTGGCTTGCTCTTTGTCCAGGCAGGGAAGCTTGCTTGCGCTGATTCTAGCTCAGGCTGCGTTTCGAAACCCTAATTGAAGCCTCACTCTTGGTGCCAGATTGGGTGGGGTGCAGTAGGGGAACCAACCCCTCCTCTGTTAAGTTTGGCAAAGGTTCTGTCGTTTTATTCTCTTCCCTTTCTTCCCTTCATTGTCTTTTTTATTTTTTTTTCCAGAAAAGCATTCACATGCACTGACAGCAGGGACAGCCTGTACAGCTTAACACTTAGCTTCATGTTTTGATGAAGAGCAGAAATTGCTAGCAAAATACTTTACCTCTCCCTTAGAGCTTAAGGACGGCCTCTCACGTACAGATCTTGTTTTGCTCCCGAGTGTCCTCTCCCTAAAACAAAAAACAAAACCCACAGATGATTGTGTTTTGTTTTGTTTGAGACGGGACCTTGCTATGTAGGTCAGGCTGGCCCTGAACTCGAGGTCCTTTTCTGTCAGCCACCCAAGTTCTGGGGTTTGATAGGTTTTTGAGAGAGTTAAAATTCACACAACAAAATGAAGAGTTTAAAAGCCAAGCGGCCAGCAGCATTTAGTACGTTCCCGGTGTTGTGCAGCCCAGAGGAGAGCCTGTCCCGCTCACCAGTCACTCCCCATCTCCACCCCAGCCCCCGGCCCCAGCTCTGGACCACCTGTGGTCTGCATTGCCTCTGTGCATTTACCTGTTCAGGATATTCTGTGTAGTGGAATGCTCCAGAATGTGGAGCCCTTGGTATTTGATCTCTCTCACATCCTGGGGTTCATCTACATTGTGACAAAATAATACACCCCTTTATGTGTGTTCTACAATTTATTTGCCAGCTTATCTGTTGCCGTGTCTTAGTGGGGGGGGTATGTTTATCTGGGAAATAATATGTGGAAGAAATAGAGCTCATTGTATGACCTTGAATGTGTTCCTTTCTAGGGATGGAACCCTTCAGTTTTTAGCCTTTGTTGAGGTTCTGTTTTCTTAATCGAAACTATAATCTGGCAGGACTGGTGAAGTCAAGAATAGGTATTGACAGAACAGAATCTGGAATGAACCTGCTTCCCATTTCTGTGGCTGTCACTGAGGACTCTTCCCTATAGCCGTTCGATCACCTTTAGGGATGTGGAGACTTTGGAGATGGCCCTGTTGCTAGGAGGAACTGGTCCACTTCTTCCAGGAAAAGAACTGGAAAGCGGTGCCTCCCGCCACATCCCGGAGCCTGGGGTGGCGAGCTGCGGAGGAGGGTCTTCAGTGTGAGGCTCTGATGCAGCTCGTCACTCACAGGCTGCTTTCTTAGGTCTCTGCTGCTTCCAGTACTTCCTTGGGGGACAGGGTGGCTTTTGTACTTCGTTCCGTTTGGTTGGGTGCTAGCACTAACCATAGCTGTTGTGTGTTTACATACAGTTCCTGTAGTGAAGGAAAGGTTTTGCTATGCGCTGCCCACTCCTTCCTATGCTTTCCACATGTCACCCTGACAGGGCACACTCCCACCTCACCCCTTCTCCCCTGTGGCCTGCTGTCCAATCAATCATACCAGATATCTGTGGTGAAATTGGTGTTTTGGTTTTTAACCTTTGGAATGGAAGTTAGAATATAATTATTAACTCTGAATCCATCACAGCTTAGTCAATTTAGGGATTTTGTTTGGGGTTTTAGTTTGTCGCAGAGAGCATCTGTCAGGGGAATCTGTCAGGCCTTTATTTCTAGGTCACTCAGGTGGCACCTTGAACTCTGTGGACTGTGGTACCTCACTATCTCCCTCTCTGAAATGAATCCCTGTCAAATGTCATCTTTTTCTATTTATTTATTTATTTAGTAGGGTTTAGCAGTCTAACACCATACCCACTGGGCCACCTGGTAGGGGTCTGTTTTGGCCATGGCGAGGGTGGGTGCTGGTTGGAACTCAGTGTGTTGACCAGGCTGATCATCAACTTCCTGCGATCCTCCTGCCTCCGCCTACAAGGGCTGGGGTTACAGGTGTGTACCACCATGCCCAGCTACACACACATTGAATATCTGAACTATATGTATTAATAGGTGTCTTTTTTCATTGCCGGCTCTTCATAACGGTCATCTCTTGCTATGCACACCAGGAAAGTTTACCGCCTAGGGACTTCTACAGTTCGGAACTTCTGGCTAACTCTCTCACGGGGCGTTGTGACTCATAGATGAGATTCCTTGAATCTGAAAAGAATAAAAAAGCTGCAGTTGCAAACAGGAAGGCCTTGGCGTTGTTTCCTCCAGTTAATTTATTCTTGAGATAATGTGGAGTTGCTTTCCTTCCGATGTTTCGATCAAACCAGATCACCGGACAACCTTGTATAAAATGAAGTTTTAGTAGCAATGTCTATAGCCATACGGTGGTCTAGCCCGTGGTATGGGTGCAACCTATAGGTGCCATTCTTACAATTCCTCTGCCAACGTAAAAACTTTGAGTTCAGATGGGTCCCGTTCCTGCTTTTTCTCACTGCGCCCCTCAATTTCACGTCAGCTCCACTTCCCTCTCATGTCTTAGGTTGAGTTTAGATCCACTGCTCCATCCCCAGGATGCAGTTCTAGGGATGCTCATGCTTCAGCCTCTGAGTACTAGGATGTAGGAAGCACCACACGCCTGCTCCATCCCCACACCCTCTCTCTTGTTACCTGGGGGCAAGGGTCCCGGAGCCCAAGCCAGCCTTTTTGCTGCATGGTCTAGGATAACCTTGAACTCTGGTCTTTTCAGGGCAGTCAACTGTCACTACTGTAGAACACCAGGACTATGTGACCTACAGGATCTAGCCCCCTTTCCCTTGTTTCTGTAGACTGTTAGGTTATTCCAAAGTGAGCATTTTACCGAAAAACATTTCCTACATTCTGTAAACTTTCCTGTTGTAGTTCCATTTAGTGGACATTTTGGAACTCCAGCAGGTTCTGGAAGCAGTCAGATGTGGAACAGAATCTCTACCTCAGGGATCAGGTAATCGGAAGTGGGGAGGAGGATAACACACACAGAGATTATAATCCAGAAGGGTTGCTCTCCAGTGGAGATGCAAACGAGGACGAGGGGGCTAGCAGTGGGCTCTGCTGGGGCTGAACAGCCAGGGAAGGTTTCCCAGAGACATCTGCATTTGGACTGCTGTGGGTTCGCAGCGCAGGAGGAGACTGGATCAGACATGGGCAGAGTGTGAGAGAAGGGAAACGGCGGGGACGTCCGGCTCACGTGGAAGCTTCGAGTGCAGGCGAGTGCAGGTGTGCAGTCAGGTGCAGCAGAGAGGACGGCCCTGACAGCTTTGGTGAAGGGCTGAGGAGCTCTTGTCATCCCTCCGTGATGTTGGAAGTGACCTCTGTTGGATTGGTGCAGTTCAGTAGCTGCTCAGTGCCTCTCAGTGCTTGTAGTTTGGCTAAGGTACCTGAGAAACTGGTTTGTAACCATATTTAATTTTTATATCTTTTTGTTGTTTTGTTTCATTTTTCTGAGATGGTTTCTCTTTGTAGCCCTGGCTATCCTGGAACTTGCTTTGTAGACCAGGCTGGCCCTGAACTCACAGAGATCTGCCTGCCTCTGCCTCCTGAGGGCTGGAGTTAAAGGTGTGCGCCACCACCTCCTGGTTTATTATTATCATGATATTTTCACACCTTTAAAAACTTACATAGAATTCAAAGCCAGCCTGGTTTGCATAGTGAGTTCCAGGCCAGCCACAACAAGACCCTGTCTCAAAAACAACAACAAAACTTGCATAATAAGTTGCCTATTTCCATGTGGTCGTAGAATCACGTCACCATTACTTCTGCTCTAACATTTTAGATTATTTTATCGCCCTCGCCCTCAGAAGGAAGCCCCTAACAATTAGCAGTCACTCCCTGTCCCGCCTCCCTTTCTACCAGCCCTCAGTAGCTGCTCATCTTCCTTTTCCCTAGACTTGCCTGTTCTGTATGTTTCTTAGAAAGCATGGACCCGGACTGAACATGATGTCTTTATAGTTGCCCTGTGTTGTAGCATGTATCAATTCTTTGTTTCTTTTTGTGTGTGGTGTTTGCGTATGGTACACACATAAGAGTGTGTGGGTCCATGTGCCCATGCACACATAAGTGGAGCCTGAGCAGGACTGTCACCCCCCATCTTATGCCTTGAGACAGTCTCGTGAGCTGAAGCTTGCCTTGGCGATGCTAACTGGACAACGAACTCTTGGATCGGCCTAACTCCCCCGCTAGTGCTGGCTTCAAGGCTCACACTTTGCCCAGTATTTTGTGTGGGTGCTGGAGATTCGAACTTAGGTCCTTATGGT